TACAACACTTGGATGAGGATCCAGCAACTAATCACAATTAATTAATTAATTATAATCAGGCTTATGTTGATGTGTGTGTGTGTGTGTGTGTATACCCATTTAAATTTTAGTTAGTAATTTATTTAACATGTAAAAAAATTACAATTATATATTTGATACATAATTAAATTGTATATATTCATATTTTTAATTTAAAAAATTAACATAAAATTCATGTAAAATATTTGTATTTATTTTATAGAATTAAAATTAATATTTACTCCATAAAATATAAATATTGTTAATAAATTTAACAAGAAGATAACACAAATTTAGTCATTTTCTATTTAATTAATTTATGATAACAAAAGGAATTAATCATAGAGCCTCCTCGGATTGAAACTTCTCAGTGGCGCTAATTAATGCATGTAATACTTGTTACTCCATTATATAATTGGAAACCCAGAAAATGACATATATTATATAATTATCTCCTATACATACATATATATATATATATATATCTCTCTCTCTCTCTCGTTTTACCACGCTTACAACTGTTTAATTAACCATCCCTTTCTTATATACATTATTGTTGGTTATATAAGAAGAAAATAGAAACTTGGTACACATTTCCGCCACATGTTACTGTTATAAGTATATATATATATATATATATATATATGTAGATAACTACAAGACATGCATGCATGAACATGTAATATCTGTACACATGTGCTGATAATTAATTATATAATCAGTGACATGCATGCATTCGTTAATATGAATATGAACATCCATTCAAGATCCAAAAGGGACTAATCAGTATATTTTATAACATATATAGCCAGTATTCTTAAAATTAAAATTAAAATTATTCACAAAAATTGTAAAATTTTAACAAATAAATAAAATAATTCATACAAATAATCATACCAATTATAAAAAATTTATTGAAATTAATTTGAAAATCTAAGTATATAGTTACACACACACACACACATATATATATATATGATTAATTCTTCTAAAACAAAAAACAACTTATGGTACCATATTAATGTTTTAAGATTACTGGATTTTAAATAATAAAAAACTAATTATTTCAAAAATTTTAATACAAGAAAAAAAAAAGATTTTTAAGCAAAATATCTAAAGTTAAAGCTAAAGAATTTCGAACACTAAAAAAAATTAAATAGGAATTCAAATTATAAAATTGAATAGTCAACAAATAAATAAGGTGAATGAATAATTAAAAAAATAATATATACTATTTTAAATAATAAATTTCTTATCATTTTCAAATAATAAATGAAATTGATTAAAATGGAATTATTAATAATTTATATATTAATATTTGAAATAATACATGTGATAATAATAATTAAATTAAAGTTTGAAAAATCGTGGTAATTATTATAATACCAACCTAATTAATTTTTTAAATTAAATTAATTAATCAGCGTAACAGTGCATATACAGTACTACTGCTACTACTCACCCCGTACTGTGAAGTTGACGGCGGCATGTTACGACCGAACAGGGTACCGAGGCTGCCAATAGTGTCGTCATCAGGATGATTGCATTTGCCGTCAGCCGTCCGATAAGAAAATTCATCCGCGTCGTATTTCTGGCCGTTGAGTTCTCCGACGTGCAAGAGGTTGTACCGCTGGTGCAGGTGCCTTCTAATCCCTAGATATGCAAGTCCCAGAAGCACCGGCACTCTGTGCCATATCCCCAACTTGTCCACCATATGTATAATCTACATATACGTATATATATATATATATAAAACATCATCGGATTTTAAATCACTGCACAAAATGATCATGCATGATTAATACATAATGAACTTATGATGATACAAGGCGGTGCCCAAATAATATACGTGCTTGTATATTGTGTAAATATATTTGCATGTTTGTATGTATGTATATACTTACTAGGAACAAGAAAGCGTCGAAGAAAGACATCCGGGCCAACTATGTGCTGAAGTTGAGGGTGAATAAGAGAGAACGCCATGGCAAAAGAGTTGGAATTATTATTTGATCAGATATTAGACTGAAAATTAAATGATGTCTTTTGCAGCTTTTATGATGAAGATAGAGTTGAGAGACGATACATATAGATATATATATATATATATGTGGAAGTACAGGAGCTGGTTGTTAAGTCAAATATGGGTTCAAGTTGATGTACTATACACGAAAACAGCTTCGTCTCTTTACAGTAATAATTTCTTGATCCTGTGTGCGTGTATAATATTATATATGTGCATGTATATGTGTATAGCTATGATGAAATAATGGGGAAAAACAAAAAAAAAAAAGCAAGAGGAGAGGAAATCGATGATCGATGTAACTGATATCTATCTCATTAATTGCTAAAAGGGTAGCTAGCTAGCGGATATTATTCTTATAGAGATGAGCCTACATATACATATATACATATATATATATATACGTATATAATCGATACATATATGTAATTTTAGAAAATTATAACAAAGGAAGTATTGGATTTTATTTTTTTGGGTGAAATTAAATAAGACCAATTAGAGACGTGTTTGTATTTGGCAAATGGGTTTTTTAGGTGTGGGGGGGGGGGGGGGGAGACAAAGAAATTATGATGGGAGTAAGTAATTAGTATCGTCTAGTGCATGCTAAGAGGATTTTTGTGTCACGCTCAATTCGTTTTAATTACGGTCCATGAAGTAGTTGATTCAATATGAGGTTCTACTTTGTCTAACTCTTTTTCTTTTTTTCTTTTTTTTTTAAATACAACATAATATATATATATATATATAATAGTTACAATAGTATGAACATTATTTATTTGATTAATTAGAAAATATTGTTATTTAAATTTAAATTTTTGTTTTAATATTGGACGGATCAATATTGCGAAATAGATATATATAACTCTTAACTATAGAAAATTGTAATTAAATTATACTTTATTCAATAATTAAATTTTGAAAATAAGAATTAGGTTATAATATAACTTAAAAGAAACGTTGTTATACGAGTATTAATATCTCTTACGTTTCATTATAATTTTTTACAATTTAAGTATTAAAATATCAGTCCCCACAAGTATTATATATGTCGTGTATTGCAAGTTGCAGAGTGTATGCACCACAACTATCTACTTCATTTATACATGAAATAAATATAGTTGCATACTTACATATCTATAGCTATATATATATATGTATATGTATATTATACACTTGACCATGAAAAATGTGCCTTGGTTGATAAGTCCTCTTGAATTGAATTGATCACATTAAAGGCCTACTCAAATTGGGTAAGGTGCTAATTGAATTGAATTGAATTGAATTGTGTTCGCCATAATTGATCGTCCAAAAAATTCAAGTTCATAATAGATGAGTAAAATTATACTTTTAACTATCATTTCTTTTAACACTAAAACTGTAATATAATAATTAAATTTTTTTATATTTTGTTTTAAGTTTATAAATTCAAATTTTATTAATGATATAGAGTTCATAGTTTTGTGAATATATTACGGGCCGATAATAGTTGACTTATAATATTTAATTTAACAAAATTAATAGTTTAATTTATCGGTGTGTTAGTACAGCTATTATGATCAAATTAAATTTAATTTAACCATAATAAGTGATGTCATATTTAATCGAAATAAATATTTTGTAAGAGTTAGATTTTATTAATTAAAATAGTTCCAATAAGACAACAACTCAATCTAGTTTTATTTAGATTTTTTTAAAAAAATTATTTTTAGTACATTTTTTAATTAAAAATTATAATAAATTTTTAATCCATTAGTGATTATCTCTAACTAAGGGAATTTAGTTGCCACAAAACGTTTTTTTTCATCTAAAAATATAATAAACTCGTTGTAATTAATATTTTAATTTTGATACTATTATCTTCTTGACATACTAATGAGTTAAATATTTAGTTCAATTGAAGTAAATATTATAAGTCAATCAAAATTAATCTATAATATATTTACTAAACGATGAACTCTATATTTTCAATAAGATTTAAATTCCGACTTTAAAATGAAAAACAAAAAAATTTTAACAAATAAACTACTTTGTTATTGATTTTTTTTCCCTACATTTATAACAATTGTTAGATAAAGAGATTATATATATATTGTGATTTTCAGGATTGTATCTAGTACTCTTACTCTATTTTCTTTTACATAAAAAAATAAATATTTACACAGTTAGCACAGTATATATCAGTACTCTTTATAGGTAAAATTCCTGTGTGTGTGTGTGTATATATATATATTGGATGGCAGACTACTGTGTAATTTATGTTTGAACAACCTCAACTTCCTCATTAATTCTTTAGGAGTAGAGCGTTGACTTCGACATGAAAGTCATATTATTTTTCATATATCAATCGTGATTTAAAATTGAAAAATAAATTTTAGTTTCGAAGAAAATAAAAATAAAGACATATATACATTAAATTTAGAGTAAATTATAATTCAACCTCCTGTAGTCAAACTTTAATAGTTCAAACACTGTGGTTCTTAATTTTGATGGGTTGGTTTTTTGTCATTTATTTTTAAAATGTATTATAATGTAATTTAACCTCAAACATTTCACATGTTTATATTTAGAAATCTAAACGCATTTTATAAATTAAAATAAATAAATCAGAGATTACTGAAATGTGAAGAAACTTTAATTTAATCCAAAGAAAATTTAAACCATAATGGGTAAAAACAAAAACTATACTTTATTTTATAATTTGTTAATTAAAGAGTAAATAAAAAGAGTTAGCCTTTTGTAATATTATGCCCAACTTCCAGTCTTCTATTTTATTACAAACATATATATATATATATAAATAGATACCGTTGAAGATTAAGAGATCACATATTTCATGCGCACAACATTAACTACATATACGTAATTTGTGAAGTAAGTGGATATACATATTGTCAACAATGTTGTGCTTGGTTGAATGAAGATACAGAGAGAATGGTAATGACTCCAAGCAAGGTGACGCTTCTAAAACGCACTGCCATAAATGAAGAGAGACATAATCAATGAATATTATACATAAAAGCTAAAGGAGATATTTTATATCCCAACTGATCTGAACTTTTAATATATATATATATATATAAAGAAATTAGATCACGGCAATTCTGGGATTTTGTTAGTTGGGGTAATGACTTCTCCGGCTTTCAACACTGGAGTAAAGTCAAGTCATGCATAATTAGTTTTCTTTCAATTCCTCACTTCTCGAATCTAAAGTCAAAAAAGATTTTCGAGCCACATTTTCTTTGCATTTAATGACAATTAAAAATTCCAACATTACCCTCTCAATGATTTCTAGGAAATAATATAAAACACCCTTCTTCTTTTTTACTTTTTGCAATGAATTAATCCATTATTAGACAATGACACTACATCTCATTATTTATGACAGTGAAGAAAGGAAGTGATTAGTGCAAGGTTAAAACATTTGATTGATTTTTGCAATATGTAGATATTATATAACAAAAAGATTTTGATTCATCAGGGAATAATGGCCTTTTTGTTTCTACAAACAATAATTATATGAATATACATATATATTGAGAGAAATTTTCATCTATATGCTCGCCATGTCTTGGCATCAGTGCAATCTCATTCCATAGCTCCCCAAAATGCACTTGCAAATAACCAGCATGCCTCCACCAACCAAAGCTCTCATAAAATTTTTACCTTCTAGCTAACTAAGTTATATGGAGCAGTAATAGCAACAAACTGATATTTCATTATATGATACAGAAACACTCGGAGTCTAATATACTGACCTTCATAGAGCATGTGCTGTTGTCATCTCAAGTTTTGCTTGTATGTTGGATGTGTTGATCTTGTTTCAAAGAATCTCCAATTAGTTAACTAAAGTGGTCTTTTGTCTAGTATTGGTTCCTTGTACTCGCATCATCCACTTTGCTGCTATTGTATGTCTCAAGATATGCCTCTTTGCCTTCGCCCTGACTCAACCAGTAACTTTTCTGTACCAGTGAACAAATATAATTCTCAGGTTCAGAGAATTAGTTATAAAAGAATGTTTAGATGAGTCTCGCTATGGTTTGATTGTGTAAATCAAACTTTCAAAAGTTTATCTACCTCTTCAGCGTCCAGAGAATGAAAGTCTAGTAACCCCAAGATTTATCTTCTTCCCTCCCTTTGTTTCTTTCAGAATCAAAGCATGCCCAGAAAAATCATCAACTGTGCCAGCTTCCGACCACAATAATTATTGTCATTACATAACAGCAATAACAAAAATATGCATCAATGAAAGAACATTCTAGTTCAGACTTCAGCAACTCAACTGCTTCCTGTAAGTCTGTAATATGATGCTTCAGTGCCCGGAAATTGATACATCAATGAAAAGTCATTCATCACATAGATGTCCATTAATTTATGCCAGGTCCAGGCCAATCCTGCACAAACAATGAACAGTAAAGCGGGTGCCTGCAGCCTTCGAGCGTGATCAATCTCAAAGAATTTAACACCAGATTTTTGCCACTC